ATAATAATAATAATAATAATAATAATAATAATAATAATAATAATAGTAATAATAATCTCTTGGGCGCATTAATGTCGCATATTACGTTAATATAGACATTTCCCTTAATCTATCTATGATATTTTTTTCAAAATTATATAAGAAACACATTATGTAACACACAAACATGATACATGCACCCACAGTATAAAAATTTATACAAATATATACGAGATGTTTACCAAACGGTTTGTAGAAGTGTCGGAAGAATTACGTTTTCTCTAGCCCGTCACCTGTTACTAGGGATAACTGTAGAAAAATATTCCTTTCGTATGCCTTCACTTTATAGCTATAATTCTGTACTAACTTGTACACAGTGTAAGAGTATTTGTTTCGTGATTTAATTATTATAATAATAATAAAAATATTATAAGGTAAAAGTTTCACAAACTCTTACAAATGTACATGAATGAACTAAAACTGGACACGTATTAATACCGTCTATTTCGCCTGACCGAGTGATCGTCCACAACCTGTTCAGTTTGTTTACGCTGTCTGAGCTCGGTGTATCATTAAATGTTGTATATTACGTTAATATACACATTTTCATTAATCCATCCGTGATATTTTTTTTCAAAATTATATAATAAACACGATACATAACATAAATACATAACAACATATGTGTAGAGAACCTAGGATAACCCAAAAAAGTCAGAGTGACTTACTTCCATTGCCTTCACTCAGAGCATCATTTCTTCTCAAAATGATGTTACATGAGAATGGGAGTGTTCTTCTTTATTTATTCTACCATATCAATGTAGAGACAACCTGTACACAATGTAACTTGTACACAAACCAGACGTGTACACTGTTTACAAAACTTACCTTCGCCTGGTTTGTTTACATAACTCTGCGCCTGTCCTCTCTCATGCACTCATTCTTTCTCTCTGGTATGGTAGCCTGGCTGACTACCATACATACCACACTTGATATTTTACAATAAATACTACTCATCTCACCCTATATTTTAAGGTAAGTAATGAGTGAACTGTATATACATTTTATCGCTCTGGGATGCTTAAATATCATAGAATAGTATGTGTGGGTGGGGTGGCCTGGTATGGTAGCCTGGCTGACACCATACATACCACACTTGATTTCTTACAATAAATACTACTTGTCTCACCCTAGATTAAGACTATAAATATTTTAAGGTAAGTAATGAGTGCACTGTGTGTGTATTGTACTTTTTTATTGTTTTTTGATGCCTGGTTCTATTGCTAACATAATATATGTTAGTGTAAACTTGTTATCTAGTGTTTGTATGCATTTGTAAGTGGAAAAAAAGGGTGTTCCACTTTACGGCGGTTTCCGCTTTACGGCGGTAGCCTGGAACCTAACCCGCCGTATAAGTGGGGCCCTCCTGTATATATTTAGTACAATTTATGACTTTATGACGTTTTCATGTATTTTATGATTGTTCATGGTTCAACAAGTTAAGGAAGCAGTATTGTATTATATTTCCCTACAATATACATGTATTGGGGCATCAAACATTCACGGTTTTTCAACATTCGCGAGGCTCTTGATCTCCTAACCCTCGCGAATGTTGAGGGAGACCTGTAATATATACAGGAGAAGGGGTTACTAGCCCCTTGCTCCTGGCATTTTAGTCACCTCTTACAACATGCATGGCTTACAGAGGAAGAATTCTGTTCCACTTCCCCATGGAGATAAGAGGAAATAAAGAAGAACAAGAACTAGAAAGAAAATAGCAGAAAACCTAGAGGGGTGTGTGTATATATATGCTTGTGTCTAATTTATCAACATATATATGCTTGTATATATATGTGTAGTGTGAACTAAGTGTAAGTAGAAGTAGCAAGACGTACCTGAAATCTTGCATGTTCATGAGACAGAAAAAAAGACACCAGCAATCCTACCATCATGTAAAACAATTACAGGCTTTCGTTTTACACTCATTTGGCAGGACGGTAGTACCTCCCTGGACGGTTGCTGTCTACCAACCTACTACCTTGGATATATATGTCTTTTATTTCTTTCAACACACCGGCCGTATCCCACCGAGGCGGGGTGGCCCGAAAGGAAAAACGAAAGTTTTTCCTTTTACATTTAGTAATATATACAGGAGAAGGGGTTATTAGCCCCTTGCTCCCGACATTTTAGTTGCCTCTTATGGGCACAGACCGGGCCGCGGGGGCGTTGACCCCCGGAACTCTCTCCAGGTAAACGCATGGCTTATGGAGGAAGAATTCTATTCCACTTCCCCATGGAGATAAGAGGAAAGAAACAAGAACTAGAAAGAAAATAGAAGAAAACCCAGAGGGGTGTGTGTATATATATATGCTTGTACATGTACGTGTAGTGTGACCTAAGTGTAAGTAGAAGTAGCAAGACATACCTGAAATCTTGCATGTTTATGAGACAGACAAAAGATACCAGCAATCCTACCATCATGTAAAACAATTACAGGCTTTCGTTTTACACTCACTTGGCAGGACGATAGTACCTTCCTGGGCAGATGCTGTCTACCAACCTACTACCTAGGATATATATAGGGGAGTTAGTAGATGGGGAGAGGGAGGTATTAGGTAGATGGCGAGAATATTTCGAGGAACTTTTAAATGTCGAGGAAGAAAGGGAGGTGGTAATTTCATGCACTGGCCAAAGAGGTGTACCATCTTTTAGGAGAGAAGAAGAGCAGAATGTAAGTGTGGGGGAGGTACGTGAGGCATTACGTAGAATGAAAGGGGGTAAAGCAGCTGGAGCTGATGGGATCATGACAGAAATGTTAAAAGCAGGGGGGGATATAGTGTTGGAGTGGTTGGTACTTTTGTATAATAAATGTATGAAAGAGGGGAAGGTACCTAGGGATTGGCAGAGAGCATGTATAGTCCCTTTATATAAAGGGAAGGGGGATAAAAGAGATTGTAAAAATTATAGAGGAATAAGTTTATTGAGTATACCAGGAAAAGTGTACGGTAGGGTTATTATTGAAAGAATTAGAGGTAAGACAGAATGTAGGATTGCGGATGAACAAGGAGGTTTCAGAGTGGGTAGGGGATGTGTAGATCAAGTGTTTACATTGAAGCATATATGTGAACAGTATTTAGATAAAGGTAGGAAAGTTTTTATTACATTTATGGCTTTAGAAAAGGCATATGATAGAGTGGATAGGGAAGTAATGTGGCAGATGTTGCAAGTATATGGAATAGGTGGTAAGTTACTAAATGCTGTAAAGAGTTTTTATGAGGATAGTGAGGCTCAGGTTAGGGTGTGTAGAAGAGAGGGAGACTACTTCCTGGTAAAAGTAGGTCTTAGACAGGGATGTGTAATGTCACCATGGTTGTTTAATATATTTATAGATGGGGTTGTAAAAGAAGTAAATGCTAGGGTGTTCGGGAGAGGGGTGGGATTAAATTATGGGGAATCAAATACAAAATAACAATTGACACAGTTACTTTTTGCTGATGATACTGTGCTTATGGGAGATTCTAAAGAAAAATTGCAAAGGTTAGTGGATGAGTTTGGGAGTGTGTGTAAAGGTAGAAAGTTGAAAGTGAATATAGAAAAGAGTAAGGTGACGAGGGTATCAAATGATTTAGATAAAGAAAAATTGGATATCAAATTGGGGAGGAGTATGGAATGGAAGAAGTGAATGTTGTCAGATACAGTGGACCCTCGACTAACGCTATTAATCCGTTCCTGAGAGCTCATCGTTAGTCAAAATAATCGTTAGTCAAGTTAATTTTCCCCATAAGAAATAATGGAAATCAAATTAATCCGTGCAAGACACCCAAAAGTGTTGAAAAAAAAAATTTTTAACACATGAAATATTAATTTTAATACACACAAACTGAAGAAGACATGCACAGTTACATGACACTTACCTTTATTGAAGATCTGGTGATGATTGATGGGATGGGAAGAGGGGAGTGTGTTGATGGTCTTAGTGTTTAGAAGGGGAATCCCCTTCCATTAGGACTTGAGGTGGCAAGTCCTTTTTCGGGGTTACTTCCCTTCTTTTAATGTCACTAGGACCAGCTTGAGAGTCACTGGACCTCTGTCGCACAACATATCTGCCCATAGAGGCCTGTACCTCCCGTTCCTTTATGACATTCCTAACGTGTTTCACAACATTGTTAGTGTCACCATTAAACACTTGTTCAGGTTTCAGTCCTTCACTGTCTATGTACTCCTTGAATTCCTGCACAGTCCAAACTGGCAGCCTCACCATGCCTTATCACACTATGTATGCCACTACGATTCTTAAATCTCTCAAACCAACCTTTGCTGGCCTTAAATTCACTCACATCACCACTAGTTGCTGGCATTTTTCTAATTAAATCGTCATGCAACTTCCTAGCCTTTTCACATATGATCGCTTGAGAGATGCTATCTCCTGCTATCTGTTTTTCGTTTATCCATACCAATAACAGTCTCTCACATCTATCACTTGCGATCTCAGTTTCGAAAACATAGTTGCACCTTTGGCAAGAACAGCTTCCTTGATTGCCATTTTCTTGGCCACAATAGTAGCGATGATTGATTGGGGTTTTGTGTACAGCCTGGCCAGCTCGGAGACATGCACTCCACTTTCATACTTAGCAATGATCTCTTTCTTCATATCCATAGTAATTCTCACCCTTTTTGCTGTAGGGTTGGCACTAGAAGCTTTCTTGGGGCCCATGGTGACTTATTTTGCAGGTGCAATCACTAAAAAGGCTGTGATAATATGAAATGTTCCGATTGTATGCTTGGAAGCGACCGCAGTGGCTGGCTGGCTGGCTTGTAAACACTGGCCAGAAGTGGACCTGTCTCGGAAGGAATAGTGTTGGTCGAGTTTTTTTAGCGCTAATCGAGGCAAAATTTTTGCGATAAAATGTATCGCTAGTCAGATTTATCGTTAATTGATGCCATCGCTGGTTGAGGGTCCACTGTATATGCTTTTCATGTTCTTGATACAGTAGAAGTATATTTTTTGTTTCCTGTTGCAGGCCCTAGCAAGTAAATTAAAAACAAAGTTGGAAGCTGCTCGGGCTGCTCGCTCCAGTGCTGCGGCTTTCAGTGAGGGAACTAGTGGAGAGCAAACTACAGAGCAAGTGGTTGTCCTAACCAGGATGGAAAATGGGGGTAAACACTAGGGCACATGAAGATTTAAATTATTCAACATTCATTAGAAATATTTCACTTTTGACTAATATACGTGATGCAGGAAACTTTTTGTACAACTATTTGTGTTCTTATTTCTTGTCTTCTGTAAATTCTCTTTTTTTTTTTTTTTTTTTTCTTTTAAACATGGCCATCCCCTATGGGTGGTCCCCCCCCCCCCCCAAAAAAAAAAAAAATCACCATACTCAGTCCATCTTTGTTTCCCAAAGGTGTGCAAACCTTTACAGTTAAAACTGAAATTTCCCCCATCCCTCCTTTGAGTGGAGTACTTATTTCCCACCCCAGGAGCAAGTCCGGCTAAGGGGTTTACCTGAATCTTGTACACTCAACGCGCCCAATAAAAAATATTTGGCCTCTACTAATCTTTTTTAACATGCTCACACCACCTTTTGGATTTTGGGGGCCCCCTCACATATGGAACCCCTTTACCCTTCTTCTAATTTTTTCCTGGGAAGTCCCCCCTCCCCTGATTTCCTTTCATAGTCTTAATAAATGATTGAAAACAAATAACGGCCCATGGGTTAAAACCCCCCCCCCTTTCCGTGTTTGATTTATACATCCTCCAGGTCTCCTTTTTTCCTCCATTCCCCCTAAATGTCCAACCCCCTCAAAAATTTTTCCTCAGCTCTTGGAAATGTATGAGTCCCCCAAATACAATTCCCCTGTTTAAATATTCATACCACCTTTGGGCCTAGTGTAAAACCCCTCCACTACCTTCAGCTTCCTCCTCACTGCAATTTTTGAAAACCATGTACCGTCATGTAAGTGTTGGTCCCTATGCTTGATACATTCCCCTTTTTGCCTCAGGGAAAAATGTTTTTGTCCCCTAGACCCCCTAATGCACCAACTAGTACCTGAAAAAAAGCAACTGCAACTTTGCATCATATTAGATTCTTTATTTTTCAAACTTAACCTCTCTCCAGCCCCCTAGCATTCATTTTTTTGTAGTCTCATCCTAAATATGAAAAAATTTCCCTGGGAAAACTCTACAAATCGGGGCACTTAACTGATTTTCTGACCATTGTTTTCTACCATGAGATCCCAGACCCTTTCAGGAATTATTCAATAACACCTAACATGGGGGTGCAATATTCAGCACACACCTAAATCAAAAAAACAAAAAACACACAAACATGTAAAAACGCAATTTTTCTCACAAGTTAGGCAGGGAGAGATTTAAATTGCACATATTTCAGAAATTTCCCTGTGTGCTACTTATGTAAGGTATTACAGTGTTTTTTTCCAAATGCTTTGAACAACCTGTATGTGTATTTTAATTTATGTTATTTTTTTTTTTTTTTGGGTATTTCAGACCTGTTCTGTAGAGATCAAGAAGCTGAAGCTGGAGAAGAAAAAAAATAAAAAACTCATGGAAAGATGGTAAAAGGTCCGGTACTTCCCAGTGATGCCCAAATGATCTCAAGGCATGGTAAGTAAAATTATTTATTTGGAGGAAATGAAAACCTTGAGAGGTCATATAGCTAGGGAATGGAAATGGACAGTAATTAGTTTTGATCTGGAAAAGTGGGGTTTAATTTCCCAGTTCTTGGTTAAGAGCCTTCACGCATCAGGATGCCCCTTAAAGGGTGCATGGAATCTCCTTATGTTTAATTTTGTAAAGGAGGGCCCCCCATTTTACAGTGTTATTTTCCCCATCCTGCCGTAAGCAAAAAATTTGCCAATAGTGGAAAAAAATGGTTTTTCGCTATTGAATGTGTTAAAACTCCGTAAAATGTTTACACATCATATACATGTATTAAGTGATCAATAAGCTAGAAAAAAAAAACAGATAAAAAATTAAATTAAATACCAGAAATACAATTTACCTTAAAATATGGTGCCAGTCCCCCTTTCCTTATGAAACGTTGTGCAAGTAAGTCGGAAAAACAAAAAAATCACCATACGTAATGGACAGTGGCTCTGTTGAAAACCAACAAAACGCTGAACACCTGAAAGTGGGTATAAAATAGTGGGTCCCTTCTGTACTGCTGATTTGTTATTTAATTTTTGTCCCTTTTTTTTACATGATTTTTCCACTATAGTTTTTTTGTAAGAAGTTGGTTTTGGTACATGTTAACCATAATTTGTAGTCAGGATTTTTTATTTTTTGCAGTTGAGAAAGAAAAAGGGAAAAACAGCCCAAGATCAGAATTCCAGTTTGAGCATGAGCCATGAAGAACTTTTAGAAAAATTAATGAGGGCTATGTATGGAGGGCTGTTCATGAGCAAGGTTGCCCCTTAAAGACACTGTGCCAAACAAGTGAACGAGACAGATTAAAGAATAAGGGTGTAAAAAAATTTTTTTTATTTTATTTAATTTTAGCTGGATGTGAAATAAAAGGTATTTTAAAAACCTTGTGAAATTTTTTTGATTAAAAATTTTATCTCTAGTTTTAGTTAGTAAAAAACTTTATATTTCCCAACAATTAAATGAAAAGGGATAATACTAAATGGAATTTATTGAATTCCCAAATTAGTAAAAACAAAGCTATGTGAGTTTTAGCAAAAAAAAAGGCAGAGAGAGGTTCATTTATAAAGTTGTTTTTTAAAAAATCTAAAATGAAATTTTTGTACACTTAGTTTATATAAAATTTTCGAATAGAGTAAGCCCCTCCCCGTTACGAAGGGCTCAGATTCGTGGGTTCTTGACCCGTATGCATCCTAAATAATGTATTTAGAGTGATTTCCTCTATTCTGTTTTTTACAATTTTACGTACACTGTGCATAAACTTCTTTCAAACCACCGGGCCATTCCCCCCGAGGCGGGGTGGCCCAAAAGGAAAAAAGAAAGTTTCTCCTTTTACATTTATAATATATACGGGAAGAGGTTATAGCCCCCGCTCCCCGGGATTTTTCGCCCCTTACAACACCATTGGGTTACGGGGAAGAATTCGTTCCTTCCTCATGGGATAAGAGGGAAAAAAACAAGAATAAAAACTAGAAAGAAAAAAAAGAAAAAAAGAGGGGTGTGTATATATAGCTTGTCATGTATGTGTAGTGTGACCTGAGTGTAAGTAGAAGTAGCAAGAGTACCCGAAACCTTGCCTGTTTTTGAGCAGAAAAAAAGGCACCCGCAATCCTCCCCTCATGTAAAAAAATTAAGGGTTTCCCTTTTACACTCATTGGGAGGACGGTGTACCTCCGGGGGTTTCTGTTCCAAAAATACTACCTACATGCGCAAAACATTTTTAAAAAATTTGTACCCAAAATTTGGTCAACTTCACAAAAGATGAAATTTTTTAAAACAAAAATTAGGTTTTTTTCCCAAATACTCTTGTTCTTTTTAATTTTTTCATTTCCAGGGGAAGGAAAAAACTTTCTCCCTAAGTGGGGAGGCGTAAAAGGGGGAATTTAACCCCTTTTTCCCGAACAATTTCAAAAAAAAAAAAGAAAAACTTTTTAAAACGGGTTCTTTTTGCTGGATTTTGTGGGTCAAGAAACAATGGCTTGGAGAATAAAAAGAAGTTGGATTTTTAACAAACAAACTAAGGGGAAAAAGGGGTTTCCATGGGGGGTAAAAAGGTTAAATTGGGGGGGTTTTAAATTAGAGCAAAGGAAAAGGGGTAGCCCAAAAAAAAGTCAGTTTTGGGGGAGAAAAGAGGAAAGAATGTAAAATTAAAATTATTGGTTTTAAAAAAAGGTTGGAGCGAGAATGGGGTTTTAATAAGCTTAGCATGGAGAAAAGAATGAGAAAGGAGAATTTTGGGAGATGTTAAGTGAATGTAAGGGTTTTGGAACCCAAGTGAAGAGTAATTGTGGTGGGGGGCTTTAATGCTAATAGGAGAAATTTTTAAAGGGGGTTTTTGGGGTAGGAAGTTTGGGGTGCCGGTTTTAAATGAAAATGGGACCCCTTTGTTTTGAATTTGTATAAAAGGGGGTTTTTAGTTATGGGTAATACATATTTTAAAAAAAAAGAGGATAAATAAGATACCGATATGATGTGGGGCGAAAGACAGTATTTTGTTGGATTAGTATTGGTAGATAAAGACTTTTGAGTGACTTCAGGATGTACATGTTTTATAGGGGGCCACAGATATCAATTCACTTTCTATTGTAGTACACTGAGAGTAAAAGGGAATTTGGATACAAGGAGAAAAGAAGATCAGGGAAGAGAGAGGGTGAAGGTTTATAAACTAAAAAGGAGGCATTAGGGTAAGATATAAAACTATTGGAGGATAGTGGGGTAAGAGGCATGGCAATGGGGTCGAAGAGGTATGGGGTAGGGTTTTAAAAAAAGTAGTGTTAGGTGTTCAGCAAAGTTTTGGTTTCAGGAAAGGGGTGCAGGAGGGAAAAGGGGGCGTGGTGGAATGATGATGTAAAGGATAGTAAGGGAGAAAAAGTTAGCATATGAGAAGTTTTTACAAAGTAGAAGTATGAAAGGGGGAAGATATTGGGGAAAAAGGGAGGTTAAGAGAGTGGTAAGCAATGTAAAAGAGAGAAAAAGGAGAGGGGTGAGATTTATCAACAAATTTTGTTGAAAAAAAGAAAAGTTTTGGAGTGAGATAACAAATAAAAAGCCTAAGAACAAATGGATTTTTTCAGTTAAAAAAAGGGAGGGGAAATTATTAAATGAGGTTGAGGTATTGGGGAAAATGGGAAGGAATATTTTGAGGTTGTTAAATGTTGATGAAAATGGGAAGCTGTGATTTCGTGATAGGGCAAGGGGGAATAACATACTGTAGGAGTGGAAGGAAGAGCCAGTTGTGCAGTGAGGTGGGGGAAGTCAGTGAGGCAGTAGGTAAAATGAAAGGAGGGGTAAGGCAGCCGGGATTGATGGATAAAAGATAGAAATGTTAAAAGAAGGTGGGAAATTAGTTTTGGAGTGGTTTGGTGCAATTGTTTTAATAAATGTATGGAAGAGGGTAAGGTACCTAGGATTGCAGAGACATGCATAGTTTTCCTCTGTATAAAGGCAAAGGGGATAAAAGAGAGTGGCAAAAATATAGGGGGATAAGTCTGTTGAGTGTAA